AGTATTAGAAAACGACATTAATTATTACTAGACCTAATTTTATATATATATATATATATATATATATATATATGTGTGTGTGTGTGTGTGTGTGTGTGTGTGTGTGTGTGTGTGTATATACATATATATGTGTATATATATATATACTTTTTTTAAATTGAAACATCTATGATGAGAGAGAATCATTGATTGGCAGCCTCCTGCATGCCCCCTACTGGAGTGTGAACCTGCAACTCAGGCATGTGCCTTGACCAGAATCAAACCCAGGATCCTTCAGTCCATAGGCCAATGCTCTATCCATTGAGCCAAACAGCTAGGGCCATTTGGTATTTCTTAATGCCTTCACCTCTCACCCAGCCCTTTAACCTCCCTCCCCTCTGGCAACCATTAGTCAGTCTGTATCTATAAGTCTATTTCAATTTTGTTTGTTCATTTATTTTGTTCTATATTTCACAGATAAGTGAAATTATATAGCATTTCACTAATGTGAAAGTATGTTCCTGACAGTAACATCCCTCTAACTTACACATATTTTCAGTACAGCTTTAAGCAAATGGAAGAAATTTTACTGGCTACAAAGACAGTCATGCAAATTAGAAGCCTATGCAGTAGTTATCTCAATATTTGCCAGCTAGCTGGCAAGTTAAAGTGTGCCAAAGTAGAAATATAAGTCTTTGCATACTTTATTCTAGACTCCAGGTTAAAAACCTAGAGCAGATAGCACCGATGGAAAATGGAAGTAGCCTCATATAAAAGGCAAGAGAAGCTTTCTTTCATCCTTCATGCACATAGCTCTGGATTCTACACTAAAGAATATTCCAAGATCTGCTAAAAGAGCAAACCTTGCCGAAACCGGTTTGGCTCAGTGGTAGAGCGTCGGTCTGCGGATTGAATGGTCCCAGGTTCGATTCTGGTTAAGGGCATGTACATTGGTTGCGGGCACATCTCCAGTGGGGAGTGTGCAAGAGGCAGCTGGTCGATGTTTCTCTCTCATCGACGTTTCTAGCTCTCTATCCCTCTCTCCTCCTCTCTGTAAAAAAATCAATAAAATACATATTTTTTTTAAAAAAGAGCAAACCTTTAAGTCCTGTTAACAGTCATTTTTAAGTGGCACACTTGTTTGAGAACTCACTAGTTTTGATAGCAACTGAAACTAAGTATTTGCAAATGAAATAGGAAATCCTCAATCTGCTTTTAAATAATGCAGGGGTAGAGGATAAAAGGTGGGAAAGAGTAGTGTATAAAATAGATAAAATAAGATTTGCCATACACTGGTAAGTTTTTAGTTTAGTTTTTTTAAAATAAAAAATTAAGACATTTTACCATCCCGCTCCAACCTTTACCACAGGGAAAAAACAATATACAGGGTTCAGTACTATGATTAAGGTATCCACTGGAGGTCTGAGATAAGGGGGGACTACTCTAATGATACAGTGAAAAATGATCTCAATGAACAGGAACATTTTATTGGAAGCATGCTATGGAACTTAACTTGTATATTCTAAATATGCTTGATCATAAAATTTCTCAAAAATTCCTGAACACCTAAAGCCTATGTCTTTAACATGACCTGCAAAGGATTTCAGAGATTCCTGAGACCTATGTAGGTGTATAAATATTTTTATCTGAAATCCAAAATTTTATTCTCAAAAGGATCTCTAATTCAGAACAGTTAGGATCCACGTTAGGATTCCTTTTATCAGAAACTCAGGTTTGGCTCTGGCTAGCATGCTCAGTGGGAGAGTGTGGGTTTGCACACTGGAGGGTCTCAGGTTTTGGTCAAGGGTACATACCTGATTTGCAGGTTAGATCCTGGTCCTGGTGGGGGTGCATGCAGGAGGCAACCAATTGATGTGTCTTTCTCACATCTATGTTCCCTCCCTCCTTTTCCCTCTCTCTAAAAATCAATGGAAAAAATATCCTCAGATGAGGACTAATAAAAAAAAAGAGGGCGGGAGGGAGGGAGGGGAAAAAGAAAAAAAGAAAAAAAGAAAGAAAAAAAAACTTAGGTTTGAGTTTCTAAACTTCTGCAAAGTCAAAAGGCTTTCTGAATGAGAATAAAGGCAATGACAACCTGACAGGTATAATGTAAGAAAAGAGTTTAGATACATGGGGAATTAAAAAATAAAAGACAAAAACAAAAAAAACCTGATACAAGGGGAATCCAAATTTTACAGGGGAGAGGCAAAGGAAAAAAAGGTCATAACATGTAATATTCCCAGAACTATAACCAACTTGTAAACATACGAACTTATAAATTTTTTATGTAAGAACAATTTTATTTAGGATAAGACTACCATGAGACTTAAAAGCACTCCCTCAAAGCTCCCCTCTTATTGTACAGGGGGCTGCCAGCGTTGCTGCAGCTCTGGATGGCCAAAGGAGAGGAGGAAAACAAAATGAAATATTCACAGTATTGCACCCTATACTGGTGCCTTGTAAAGGAAGAAAGAAGATGGACAAGATGTTCTTGAACATCTATTCATGGGTATTTTAGTATACATTTTCTTCTCACAAACCCATTGTAATGGAATTTGGATTCCCAGTCAGGCCACAAAGTGTCAACACCAAAACTACAATTCAGCAACAGGAACCTAGTTGAAAAGATAATATCTCTCTTTTACAGAAAACTGTTTCTAGTTCTCACCAAACCACTTCACATGGCAGTTTGGACATGTACGTAATATAGATGTAACAAAGCTACATATGCAGTTGCTGCCATTGAATATTTAACTTTCAGTTCCTGTTCTGCCTTTACATAGGGGTGGAGAATCTTTTCTCTGCCAATGACCAATTGAATATTTATAACATCATTCATTTAATAAAATTCACTTAATATGAATGTATGTTGCTAAGAAAAAGCTCCTAGATTTTGAATTTCGAGTCCCACCTGCCTTGGCAGGGCCTTATACAGCCCACCCGCAGGCTGGACAGTCCCTAGTCTTGCTCTACATAAACATTCATCCTCTTGCTCCCCCTCTGCCTGCCAGTGATGCACTATTCCCTAAAGACAGCACTTGGAGAAAGAAGCCTATGTCTGCCTTCCATGAGCAGTTTTACCACCTCCAGCCGATCTGCCCCATGTGGATCAACTATCAGAGGACAGAAAGCTATGACTGTAAAAACACTAATCAACTGAAGTGAAACAGCATTCCCAGAGCCTCAGCACAGTGGAGGACACAGTAGCTGCTCAACATATTGAAAAGGAATAAATTAATCTCATCCCAATTCTAGCTGATCCTAGACCTCTTCATCTTGGCTCAGTTATAATACATTTTAGGAGCTGATCTGGGAAAGTTTTTATGCTCTACTTTTTTCTGAAAAGTTATGAACAATGCTTCAGTGGAAATGTGAGCAAAGCATAAAGACAACCAAATAAGAATTAACCAGGAGGATCAAGGGAGTGACAATAACAGCTGGCTCATCCTCTAATCCAGTGGTCGCCAACCTTTCGAGCCTCACAGGCCACTGGCTGGCAACCACTGCTCAATCCAAGGGTGAGAAAAAGAGTGAAAAAAGTTCAGCATTGTTACTAAAACTTTCAAGGCAAAGACTTTTATCATATTGTTTGAGACCCCCCAATATTAAAAGCCTCAAAAAAAAATTCTTCTCAAGAACTGAATACTAAGAAAATTTTAACTTTTCAAAATAAGAGATCTGCATAACCTTTCATATTATATTACTAAACTCTGCCAATAAGTAAAAAACTAAGGTTGGCCATCCTTGTGCTATTGCTGATAAGGTGCATGCTGTCTCTCCTGCCACCTCCAATCTTAGCTCTTCAGCCTTTTTTTTAAAAAAAAATTCTCACCAGAGGACATGCTTAGAAAAGGAGGGAGGGAAGGAGGGAGGGAGGGAGGAAGGAAGGGAAGGAGGGAAGGAGGGAGGGAGGGAGGAAGGGAAGGAGGGAAGGAGGGAGGGAGGGAGAGAGACAGACAGACATCTATGGAGTTATTTTCTTGACCAGGGATTTAACCTGCAACCCAGGTATGTGCCCTGATCAGGAATTGAACCAGCAACACAGGATGTCACACTCAACCAACTGAGCTATTCCGACCAGGCAGTTCTACAATCTTTTGTTAACTGCGCTTTTATCATTTACTGTAACTCCCAATTCCTTTATAAAAGTAGAGATACACAACTGATAAAACATATTGTTTTAGGAATGAACATTAGATGCCAGATTTACAAATTAACATTTTAAAAACACATATTTTGTGGATTAAAATTTATTAATAGAAGTTGCTACCTGTGTCTAACAGACTACAAACTAGTCTCAATTTGCAATGAAGTTTACTTCTTCAATGTTTGCACTCAGTACCTCCTTAGTCTAAATTAATTTAGAAAGCCTAACACTCCTAAACCTAATACTCGTTGTAAATTCTCATCTCATTTTCATTATCAGTAACCATCCAAATCCTCTACGTCTACAGTAATAAAAATTAGGTTTTGTGTAATCCTAACCCAACAAAAAGAGATAATTTGCCCAGCTGATGTGGCTCAGTGTTGACCTATGAACCAGTTCAATTCCCAGTCAGGGCACATGCCCACGTTGCACGCTCAATCCCCAGTATAGGGCGTGCAGGAGGCAGCCAATCAACTATTTTCTCTCAACAATGATGTTTCTATTTTTCTCTCTCCCCCTACTATCCTCTCTGAAATCAATAAATAAACATATATATAAAAGGTTACAAGTGTAATCACGTAATTTAAAACAAACAAATAAAAAGAGATGTTTCTTATTGGAACTGGAGTTAGGGATTTATGAAAGACTGTTCCCAAAATGAGTAAGTCTGGAAACATTATCCAAGTTGTTGAAGTAAAATTTCAACCCCCAGTTGGTTTCTTTAAAGTTTTAAAATCTCTTCTATAAAATTATTTGTAGTCCCCATTAATCAAAAAGTAGAAAGAAAACCCAAGTATAGTTAAAAATTTAAATCCTTTAACTAAATGGCTTACATGAAGTTCTGTAGCTCACAATAAAGAAAATCAAAACTTACCTAAAGTCATTAATTTAGCACAACTACTTTTGCTTGCATCGTCTTCTAAGATTCGGTTTGTGCTCTTTTCTTTCTCAAGCAAAGTATCCTCCAAATGTAAGCATTTATCAGATACAACACCGTCTTCATCCACCACATGACTAATTTTGCTATTAGCTTCAAGTACAGAAGTGAAGTCTTCCAGCTGAGCGGCTTCACTGGTTTCTGAATGAGAGGAACCCTTACCCTGGGCTAAATTCTTTGAAGAAACTGGTAGAGATTCATCATCGCTATCAAATCCAAAAGGATCGCCAGTATTTTCTTCTTCCACCTTAGGTTTCTTCGGAATTTCTTGGATATCTGATTTGAAGTTGGGCCTCTTCTGCCCTAATTTAGCCATAAATGTGGTCTCTCCCCATTTTGTGCTAAGGGTAGTCCGTTTGTTAGAAAAGACTTCATCAAATTTTGAACTGCCATTTCCGCCTTTCCTACTGTATGTTTTCCCAAATCTGGATGTCATTTTGACACCTGTTTCATATTCTCTGTGAGAAAAAATAGAAAAGAATATATATAATCACCAAATACTTAAATGTTAACATTGAAAATAAAATTAAGAACCCAGGGATTCTTCCCATGTGACTTTCCAACATTCAAGATACAAATCTTGCCCTAGCCAGTTTGGCTCTGTACATACAGCATTGATTGGCCTGTGGACTGAAAGGTCCCAGGTTCGATTCTGGTCAAGGGCACATGCCCCGGCTGTGGGCTCGATCCCCAGTCGGGGGCTTGCAGGAGGCAGCCAATCAATGCTTCTCTCTCATCATTCATGTTTCTCCCTCTTCCTTCCTCTCTGAAATCAATAAAAATATATTTCTAAAAAAGATACAAATCTTTAAAAATTGTTAAATTAACACGGGGGGGGGGTGTTGAAAAAGAGGCTAATTTTTTACTCTGATTTCCATGTCAAATTTTTGTTTTTAATCTTTACCCGACCATATTTTTACATTGATTTTAGAGAGAGTGGCAGAGAGGGAAAGACTGAGAGAAATATCAATGTGAGAGAGAAACATTGATTGGCTGCCTCCTGCATGTACCCTGACCAGGGCCAGGGCTGGCGAGGAGCCTGTAATGGAGGTGCGCGCCCTAGACTAGAATTGAACCCTTCAGTGCACAGGCCAACACTATATCTACTGAGCTAAACTGGCTAGGGCCCATGTCAGTTTTTTATATTCATATGCTGTTTACAAAGTAAGACTATTTATCTTATAATACAGCATACACAAAACCAACTTCTAGTGGAATATCAATTTTATTTTGTTTCAAATGAATCTTACTATTCTTAACAACATCACTTTTACCTTTAAAAGGTAATCTTAAGGGTGATTTTCGCTAATATAAAATCTTAAGCACAAAATATTTATATTTTTCACCCAGCTGGCCTGGCTCAGTGGTGGAGTGCCCAGTGGCTCAGGGGTTGAACACCAACCTATAAATCAGGAGATCATGGTTCTCAGTCAGAGCACATGCCCAATTCCTTCTCATCATTGATGTTTCTATCTCTCTCTCCCTCTCCCTTCCTCTCTGCAATCAATAAAAATATATTAAATATACATATTTACATTTTTCAGGATTTCAGAAATATCAAATAATTGACTAAATTTAGTTCTTTGAAATTTCAGAACACTTACTAACATGAGGGGAAAAAATCGGGAAAATTGTGCAACTTTCTCATATATTAAAACATGCAGCTTTTAACCAAACCTTAAATTCTAATTCTTGGTCTAAAGTAATTTTGAAGTGTTACTTGAAAAATACTCGTTAGCCCTCGCCAGTGTAACTCAGTAGTTAGAGCACCACACAGAAGGGTTTCTGGGTTCAGTTCCCAGTTAAGGACAATTACCTGGTTTACAGGTTCCATTCCCAGCCCTAATCTATGTGACAAGAATGTTTTCCTCTCTCCCCCCTTCTCCTTTCCTCCCTTCCACTTGATATAAAAATGAGTGGGAACAATATCCTCTGGTTAAGAATAACTATATATGTATATGAATGTTTATTATTTAGTTGGTCATCTCCCTAAGCACAAGCAACCACACTTTTCTCTCATCCTTATGATCATTGCTGAGCTACATTTTTTGGAGCTGGTGAACTCCAGCATATTACAATGGTCCTTGGATTATTAAACAGAAACGTGTAACTTTATTTTCCTCTTCATTTTATAAAAAATAAATGGTTTCATCTGAATTATCTACATTTTAATAACAAATCTAGGAAAAAATTTCAGGACAGTAAATCAGAAGAGTCAAACATTTTTAAAACAAGTTACCATACAGTACTCTTTAAACTCTATCAACTCTTTCCCATTTCTTTGACATTCTAGAGTTAAATATAATATTTAAATATAACTAGAAAAAAATGAACAGTTGCCTAGGGGCTTGAAAAAAATCTTCATCCTGGAATGATATCATTCACCTAGAATGATATCTGACTTACATATTTTTGTTCTTATTTTTATTTTCTGACATTTTTTAAATATACTTGATCTATCCTTTAAATGTTTTCCCTGTATTAACTTAATCACTATAAACTTAGTTTTCTATATATTCAGTAGAGAATTTCCCCCTCTCATGTTTGCTCAGAGGTCAATTCTAATTTGACAAAATAATTTATCTTCATACATACCTGAATTAAGATTAAGAGTCCATAAATTATTTGAAAACCTTTTAACATATCACAAAACTTTTTACTAGGGAGATCTTTTTTCCCTTCTAGTGAAGATTAAGAATCTATGGTCTTTTTAAGTCCTGCCTAAACAAAATTAAGTATATTTGGCAGCTACAAGAATTACAAACTGAAGTGATTTTGATTTATTTTCATTCCAAGAATGTAAAGCCTTGATCTACAGACCTACATTTACACAGATCCATACGAAGCTGGAATGTTCTGGATACACTTACACAGTAATGACCTAAAAATGTTAACTGAAGGCCAAACCAAAAATCTAGACTTGAGATCCTTTAGGCCCACATCAGAAAAACTCATTGCAAAAATGGTCCTGGAACTACAAAGCATTCAATGGTCCTCGAATCAGCTGCAAGTTGAAAGTCTGAAGGCAAATATTTAAGGTTAAAGAATTATTTTAAAGGTAAGAAAAATCATGCTTACATCTTTAAAAAGAACTTGTCTTTTAGAAAGATATACTAAAATACTGATGAAATGATGTCAAGGATTTTCTCACTTCAAGGGGTGTGGAATGTAAAGTGAATAAATGAGAAAACTTCAGTGGCGTTAATAACAAATCTTATAGAGCACATGAGAGTTCATTATATAATATCCCCTACTTTTCATTTCCTCTTCAGTTTTCCATAATGTCTTTTTTTTTTAAAAAAGACACTAGAGAGCCCTGGCTGGTTTGGCTCAGTGGATAAAGTGCCCGTGGACTACAGAGTCCCAGATTCTATTCCAGTCCAGGGCACATGCCTGGGTCGTGGGCTCCGTCCCCTGTGGGGGGTTGTGCAGGAGGCAGCCAATCAGTGATTCTCTCTCTATTGATTTTTCTATCTCCCTCTCCCTTCCTCTCTGAAATCAATAAAAATAATATTTTTAAAAGTCACTAGACAGATTATTGTAATGGCATTATGTAAGCCTACAATATAAGGTGTGTATACATTAAAAAATAAGTATGCGGACACACGACACTATTTTAAGTATATTTCAAGTACACAGGCTATGTTGCTCAGGCTTCCAATTCCAAAGAAGGAATGATTCAAAACTAAGTCTTTTCGGCCGCTGGGCCTTTTCCTTCCTTAGCCAAAGTCAATTTTCAGGGAAGTACGCTAAGTCCTCACACTTGCCCCCATCCACACCTAGTCTTTCGGCTCCCCAAAGTTTTAGGGGAGACCCTTTAGGAAATGGTGCCGGAAGGGCAAAGCTAGCCCCCCAGAAACCCTCACCTGCGGCTGCCGGGGCGCCAGGGGGCAGCGCGAGCGGAGCTCACGCAACTTTCCTGCTCCCCGCCCCCACCGCCCAGGAAGGGACGTCGCTCCCGACGCCCCGGAAGCCTCGGCCCCGGAATCCCGGGCCGCCGAGGCCTCGGGGGCGCCGGGCGGAGGGCGAGGGCCAGGGCTCCGGGCTGAAACGGCACACTCGGCGCTGCTGGCGGGAAGTAAACCAGCGGCCACCCGGAAAGAACTCAGAAAAGAGGCCAATAATAGGGAGTTCGGTGTCTCTGCCCAACTTCCTCCGACCCGGGCGGGGAGACAGCCAGCCTCCCGCCCGCCCGCTCGCTCCGGCCCAGGCAGCCGCCCAGACCGCACTCACCTCGGCGCCTGGCGGGTGCTTTAGCCTCGGGCCGCCTCGTCTCTCCCAGCCCCAACGGCCCGCGGGCGCCGAGTCCCGCGCGGAAGGACAGGGCCCGCCGGTGCACGAAGAGCGGCGAGGGCTCCGCCGCCGTCAGACCCCGCGACTCCGCTCGCGGTAAATAGGAAACCGGCAAAGGGGGGAAGAGCGGCGGCACCGCAACTTCCCTCGGGCCTGGAGCGCCCCAGCCGGGCCTGGGCCTGGGCCTCCGGGGCCGCCGAGCCCGCTACGTGCCGCCGCTGGGCCGCCGCCGCCCCCTGCGCCGCCGCTTCCGCCGGTGAATGGTCAGCGCAGGAGTTTGAACAGGGCCCTGAACCATCTCAACGCCATTTGCGCTCCGGCCCCCTCCTCCTTCCTCCAACAGCCGCTCGCTCCGTCACTCGCTTCCCACAGGCCCCGCGCGGCGCCCGACCCCGCAGCCAATCGCGCGGCCGCTTACTCAAATCGCCGCGCAGGCGCCGCGCCGCGCCCCGCACGCGCCCGCGCCCGCCATTGGTCCGGCCGCGGGGCCCGACGGGAATTGTAGTCCCGGTCCGCGAGGTGGCGGGTGCGGAGCTCCCCGCGCGGGAGCGGGACCGGCGGCGGGCGGAGCCGCTCTCGCGGTCGTGGCCCGCCGGCTCCGGAGCCAGCTCCAACCCCGGCCCGCCGGAGACGCACGTGGTGCGGGAGGGCCGGGCGCGGTGCAGGCAGCTGTGTCAATCGTTTCCCCTCCGGGGACCGCCGGTGTCTGGGGACGGCGGGTTGTGCAGCTGCGCCGGGCCTGCTGCGGCCGCGGCTGGGGCGGGGAGGCGGGGTGGGGAGCTCGCGTCTCAGCGCCCCGCGGGCCCGGGCGGCGCGGGCCCGGCGCAGGTAACGACCGCGGGCCCGGGAGGCCGGGGGCTGGGCACCGACGGCCGCGTTTTACTGCGGGCCCTTCCCTTCGCAGCTCTCCCTGCGCTGCCCGCGCGCGCCCTTAGAGCGCATGGGAATACAGGTGGTGGTAAGGCTTGTCGTTGACCTTGTTGGGAGTGATAAGGATAATGTGGTTGTGTGTGTGTGTGTTTTGAGGCGTACTCAAGTGTTGACGGGTAAAATGATATGGTGCTGGTGCCTGTGAAGACGGGGCGGCCCGGCGGGGCTCAGTGACTGTGTGGACCTGTGATCCAGGGCTCACGGCTGGATTCCCTGTTGTCAGGGCACAGGCCCGGTTTGCGGGCTGGATCCCCGGTGTGGGGCGTGCAGAAGGCAGCCCATCAATGATTCTCTCTCATCATTGATATTTCTCTCTCTCCCTCTTCCTTCTTCTCTAGAATCAATAAAATATATATTTTTAAAAGAAAGAAAGAAAGAGAAAGAAACCCAAACTTGCCCAGCCGGTGTTGCTCAGTGGTTGAGCGTCAACCTCTGAACAAGGTGGTCAGGGCACATGCTCGGGTTGCGGGGCTGGATCCCCGGTGTGGGGCGTGCAGGAGGCAGCTGATCAAGGATTTTCTTTCCTCCCTTCCTCTCTGAAATTAAAAACCTGAGGGAGGAAGAATAAAACAAGCCAGCGGGATGTTTTTCTTTGATGCTGCCTAATGTCTATACACGAGCTCATTATTTCGGTCTCTACATGCATATCTGTAACTTCTCATAATAAAAGGGTTAAGAAATGAACGAGTGATTGCTGGGAAAACGGAGGGGGTTAATTATTTTCCGCTGTTTAATGTTTTGTGCCATTTAAGGTTGATTCTGACTAGTATATTACTTATTCAGAAAAGCAAAGAGTGTGTGTGCTGAAAAGCAACTCAGTTTCTCCTGAGGGGCATGACTCATTGCTCCACGCCCTGGTCTGGTGGGTCTGGTGGTCTTGGTGGGGCGGTTAAGGGAGATCCTCCTGGGAAATTAGAAAACTGCGTATTGCTTTCAGTGAAAGGCCTGCCTCCTTTTCCACAAACAGATAATTTGCTTTGAGGGCACCCAGAAGATACCAGCTTCCTCCGATATATTCGGAAAACTGTAAATAAAGAAGAAATAGTTCAGAGATCCTGCAGTCCTTCCCAATAGGAATTTAAGGTGGATCTTGGCATGGTTGAAATGTTTACTTTTCTGCCACTGCTTACAAAGTTAATGTCCTGACATTTATAATTTCCCAAATGCTATGTGGGTACTTTCTTTGGTTCAAAATAAATCAACTCAGATAGCCCATGTGAATGAATGGCAGTTATAACAAGTCTGCACATTCCACTATGGTTAGTGTATACTTAACTTTTTATTTGTGTCAGTTTTGTCTTTTTAAAAAATAAGCATAGAATCTTGTTTTGTCAGTTTGAAGCTGCCTTACTATAATTATTTAAATGACAAGTGGTGGGTGCTAATTAAGGGGTAATTATCAGAAGCGAAGGATGAGATCAAAAAACCCAGAAGTGGCCAGAACCTGTTTGGCTCAGTGGATAGAGCATCGGCCTGCAGACTGAAAGGTCCCAGGTTCGATTCCGGTCAAGGGCATGTACTTGGTTGCAGGCACATCCCCGGTGGGGGGTGTGCAAGAGGCAGCTGGTCGATGTTTCTCTCTCATCGACATTTCTAGCTCTCTATCTCTCTCCCTCTCTGTAAAAAATCAATAAAAAACATATATTTAAAAAAAACAACACAAAAAACAGAAGTGGTGGTGACAGTGTGAAGATCTTCCTGTGAGCCAGGCCTGGCTGGTGCTAGGAGCTTGGCGGGTCAGTGACTGCACCAAGCTGCCGGGGAGAGGTCCTTTTGTAAAGAAGCAGACAGTCTGTGGAGCCCTTCGGGGGCTGTCTGTGGTTGTGTTAAGTAACGGAACTAGTGGGGTTAACATCCTGTTACTCAAAGACTGATCCCAGCCAGCAGCACAGCTTCACCGGGAGCTTGTGAGCAGCACAGCATTCCTGTCCCCCCCCGAACTCCGAACTCCCTGCAGCGGGGCTCCCGCTCCCGCAGGGCTGGCCACACAGCGAGGGTGACAAGCACCGGCTTACAGCGCACCCACAGCATCCGCCACAGCCTGGCCTTCGCGTTTGATGAGGGGGGAGAACGTGAAGAGTGGACTAGGCATCAGTGTGATGCCAGTGCCTCTGGAAAGCCGCACGTGCACCCTTCCTGAAGTTACCGTTTTATGGGTGAGGAAATGGAGAGGTTGGCATTCGCCCAAGGTATTGCAGCTCCTGGGAGAATCAAACTTTTCCTTAAACATTTCATTTCCATTATTACTGTACACATTCTTGAATCTGGTAGAAAATGCTACATGATTTGAAAAGTAAAAAATTGTGAGTGTTTAAGTATGTGGAAGCTTAGTATATGAATTCCAAGCAGACCTGTGCGAGGCCTCTCCACCCTTATATGCCCCCTCCTCTCTCTCTCCCCCTCCCCACCCCCCTTGCTAGGGCTCCTCCTGGAGGAAGTCCAGCCTCCAGACCCACAGGCTGTGCCAGCACCTTGACCATTTACCTCCTTGGTTCCAGTGTATCAAGCAAATGCCCTGAAGGCCCCACCCCCTTCCCCGAGGAGGCCCTGAGTTCCACACCGGAGTGAGTGAACTGGACTCCAGTGTGGATAACACCTAGGCAAACAGCTTTTTTATTTTTATTTTGCTTTTGTTTTCTTAGTTCCCTCAGTTTATAATCCACCACCTAGATTGGTTCTCTTAACCTCTTCAAATCTGCCTCACATGTAAAACCGATAGCCAGTAGCCAGTGCTTCCTTCTTTGCTAGAATGGCTCTATGCAAACTCTCAAATATCTGATTTTCCCCTATTAAGTGTCATCTTTATGCCATAAACTGAAGTCCTGGCTCTGAATCAGGCTTGTGTGCTGTGGTTCAGCAGACTTCCCTCTGTGCTGCGCGGAGCAGGGTCGAATCCCCATGACCTTGAGTTCCACTCAGGTGGATTCATACTTTGCTTTGATCCTGCAAACACAACTGATACGAGAATCTGTTCGCCATTATTGTGCCTTTGTTCTAGCCCAGACATGGGGACTGTCAGGACTGAAGCTGCTGAAGAGAGCTGTGTAGTCTTTCTGGCAATGTTAGTAAAATAAATTAATCCTAAAAACTCGGTTTAGAGAACTAGAAGTCAGAAATTACATTCGTTTTCGAAATTCTTCTTGTCATAAAGTGGAATAAAACTAAATCGTGCACTTGGACGTTGTAGTGGTTCTGTTGCAAAACCCTCCAAGAGGTGGGCCAGACACTGCCCTTTCCCTGACACTCCCCAGCTCTGCTCTGCCCCAGTGGGCAGCTGTGACTTTTCCATCCATTTCATCCTGACCAGCCTATTTTAAATTGTAACACACATACACACTCATTCCCAGATGCTCCTACTCCTTTTTTTATTTCTTTCTAGGGCGTCTACGTTCTCGTGTAACATCATATATGTTGTGTGTCTTGCGTGTTTATCTTCCCCGTGAGGGCAGGAATCTTTGCCTGTCTTTTCTGCTCTATCCCTAGCATCTGGAAGAGTGTGTGGCACATGGTAATGCTCAACAAGTATTTGTTGATAAATGCCCCCATTTGTTTTCTTTTTCATGTAAAATTGTAACTTAAAAGGAGAGGGACTGGAAACAGCAGTTTATTACATAACTGTGGCGCCATAAACTGTGATGGTTTTCCCAATGGACAGGGGAGGTGCTTTCTGGAGTTCCCTCTGTTCTCGCTTTGGGTAGGTTTTCCTTCTGAGAATTGAGGTAAGGAATACTACTATCACCCCAATTACCTTGTTTTTCAGGGTAGCTGGAATGTGTTCTCTGGAGATGGTGATGGCCTTTGGGAAATGAACTGTCTAGGTTAGGGGTGTCGAACTCAATCAGAGAAGGGGCCAAAATCTAAAATCCAGCCTAAATCGCAGGCCGAATGGTTTACTGAACAGTCATAAACTGTCATTGTGATGGAAACGCAGCGGAGTGCAGTGATGACAGCGCGGTGCGGGCCACATTGCAAGGCCTGGCGGGATGGATTTGGCTCGCGGGCCTTGTGTTTGACACATGTGGTCTAGGTCCTTGAAAGACCAAGCTAGAGAAATTCCCTGGGGACATGTTGCCTGACAAGGTTTGGTACCCACAGATCTCTAAAGCTCCCAACACCTGGCTGTTATCTTGGAACAGCTCCCTTTTCCCCAAGGTTTTCAGCTCTTCCACCCTCCGTCCCAAAAAAAGCCCTCCATCACAAAGAGGAAAATCCAAAGTCCTTAGCGGAGTCTGTAAGGTCCTACCCGAGCTGCTCCCATCCCTTCCCACAGTGCCACCCTGTCCCTATCTACTTCCAGAACCTGCCAAACCAGCTCCAGTCAAGGCCATTGCTGTTCCCTCCACTCTCCCTGGAGATAGGCACGTGACTCCTCGCCTCTTTCAAGTCTTCGCTC